CTATATGTGTGTGTGTATATATGCATACATATGCACACACGCATATATATGTGTGTGTGTGTATATATATATTTTTTTTCCACATAGCTGTATCCTATCAGTTCTGTTTTTCTGTGAAGGTTGACAAAGACAATGACTATTGGTTAGAGCCACGCTGGGAGAAGGGCCCAGAACACAAAGCATGGCACAATGAGGGTTGTTCTGAAGAGTATTATTCTGGGCAGCCATATTTTGGGGAACAAAGGAGCCATGTGTTGGGTTTAGATCTTGGAACTTTGCAAGCCAGGTAGTAGAGTTTAGAATGTACGTGGAAGGAGAATGACTTAGTGAAATCTATCTTTTCTGGTAAGATTAGTTTTGAGAATATTGAGACTAGCATATAGGAGATACACAGTAAATTCCTGTGAAACGGATCCTAAGGAGAACAGAGTGAAGGTAGGACAGGGATGAATGGCTGCTGCATAAATTCAGGGCTAGGGTGATAGAGCCTTTCTCTCTCCCACCCGGCCACTTTACCTGCTAACAGTCACTGTGCCAGGCAGTGACAAGGATTTATTATTAGCCATCTGCTCTGCCACTATAGCCTTCTGTGAAAATTTCCACAGTTCTTACTGTACTGAGAAGTAGTAACGTTTATTCCTCTCCCAGATACTTTGGGGCACATACTGTTTTGCTTTTACCTTTCTCTGTTTTACACAATTAAATATATACCATGTAAGACTGGCTGTCCTCAGTGGATGTGTCAGAATATTTCCTTTATTCCTACCATTGATCCTGGAACTGATGGGCTGGACAAGGTGGGGGAAGGAGTTGTGGGCTGGTGTTTATAATCCTTCTCTTATGCTGGTCTGGTCTAATGACTGTGGTCTTTCTTTTTTAAAATACCACTTTGGTTAACATTTCAACACATGTTCTGTTCTGGCAGTGAGTGGTTTGGAGAACTTAAAGCTTGAAAAATGCCAACAGAGGCACCCTGGGATGACGGCTGGCACTGAAGAGATTTAGTGATCCTAAATTGTTTCAGCATTGTTAGATTCTTGATTTTCAGACAGAGAATAGCTAGGGAGACAGCAGTCAGTAATATGACACTGAGTTAGGAGAGGCAGGAGTTAAATAGAATTCCGTGCCCCATTTAATACAGTGTGTTATAGCCACTGCCACAAATTTGATTTGAACAATTTCTATTTTTCCCAGCAAAGATGTTATTACAGGTCAATCATTTCCATAAGTGAGAGCACATTTCTGGTGTACACTACACTGACAGATGGCTAGAAGACCTCTCTTTCATGATCCCAGGCGGGATAAAAAGGCAATTTACTATCTATAGGACTGTGGGTACACTGGTAATGGCAGCGAATCATTCTTATACAAATAACTCAGTGTTTGAATCTGAACTATCAAATGAATCTGAGCTATAGCCAAATCAATTTGATAAACCATCAGAATATGATTGTACTGGCTCCAGCCTGCAAAGGCAACGCATTAAATTTTCCCCACAGGAAACTATTTCCCAAGGAAACAGAAATTGCTCAGTTGCTTAAAAAAAAGAAAAAGCTTGAGTGAATTCAGGCTATCAGGTGAAAACTTAGATGGCTGCTGATGCTCAAGGTCAAGACTCGTGAGGGCGAAATGAGGATGCTGGGCTGCTCCTCTCACTCTGTGGAGCTTGTCTGCATGCCCCTGCATTGCTCCATGGCTGCGGCTTTTGCACTGCTATGGCCTGCCCTTACACCGCTCCGTGTTCAGCAGCTCCCTATTCTTGCTTCACTCAACTAGAAATTTTGCCTTGAGGAAAGGAGCTGTTAGCAGCTGGGGTGAGCTTCGTGCAGCTTCCTCTGAATCCCTTACATGTATCTGCCGGGGACCAAGGACTGAGCCTGTCGCAGAGGAGGAGTCGCCGCAGTTAACTTGCGGAGGGAATGTTTTGCAGATTGGGCAAGGCTTCCCAGTTCTCAGTGCTGGTTCCTGGGCAGTTGATTCTCAGGGTGTTCTTGTACGTGCAGCGTCAGCTCCACTGATGGGAAGTTGGTAAAGATGCAAATCCTCACAGCCCTACCCTGACCTCGTGAATTAACAGCTGTCAGGGTGGGGACTAACAATTGGATGTTGCACAAACGCCCTCCAGGTGAGCTTGAGGCCCAATCAGACTCAGAGCCTCTGCTCCGGGGCAGTTGAGGACCACTTGCGGCTGAGGTGGCCCGGAGCCATGTTTCACTCTGGAAATTGCCTCAGCGATTTACCCAAGATATGGGACAACCTACTCCCAGTGACTGCTGCTGTTGAGGCCTGGCCCCTTGCCCTAATTCAGTACAACACAGAAGGCCCATCGTAACTCCAGAGCTTCCTTCCCATGTGTTCGGCTTCCATGGTGCTAACACATCACAGCTCAGCTTCTTTCTCGGGCTGATTCTGCATCCATCAAGCATTTTACATACAGCCTGAGAATACTCTGCAGTAAAACTCCTGAATGCAGCCAGCCACATCAGGGTCTTCTTTCAGTGAGGAGGAGGGTACTCTGGCCGGAAGCCCACCACTACCCTAGCTTGAGCAGCACCTACTGTGTCTGGCAGTCTGCACACACTCCATTTCCCACCCATGAACACACAGCCCCTCAGGTGGGAGTTAGCTGAGTTGGCACATCGGGTTGCAGAAGTGGGAACTGGGGTAGGCCATTCCTCTGCTGGCATTCCAGGTCAGCAGGCAGAGAGGTCTGAAGGACATCTATGGATTAATCTGAAAGCCCCAGAAAGGAGCATGATGTTAAAGTGATCGACTTGCCCCTAAAGGCAGAAGAAACTAGCAATTATAGGCTGGGCTTTCAGCCAGAACCTTGCACATATATCCTCATGCATTGAGATGATAAGATGTGTAATATATTATTACTCTCTACCCTTTTAAGTCATAGGAGGTGCTTCATAATTCCTGTGGATTGTGTGTAAATTTTATTCACTTAATTCTGGCCAGATGTTCCCGTGGTAAAAGGGGATAAAACAAAAGGCTTGTAACTTGAAGTGCCTGTGGAAGTGCTTCTGATGGTAACACGCCTCTTCCTGCTTGCACTGATGGCAGGACTGGCTGGGGGAATCAAGTCCTATATCCTCTGTTAAACAATCTTTTGGGATGCATTGTTCAGTGCCTTCACTTGGAACCTGCTCTCGCAACCACAGGAAAGATGTTCTTCTATGCTGTGTTTACCTGTCACGGCCTTATGTCCTTAGGCTGGGAGGCTGAAGTTATTTTCCCCTCCATTTTAGTTCACAACCTGTTTCAGAGGGCCTGATTGAATGGCTTTTAGAAGTTGAAGTAGACATATCTGTGGCAACATGAAACGGTAGAAACACATGGAGTGCAAGACAGAAGAGTTAGGTTCTGGTCCAAGCTCTGTCACATACAGATGTAGTGTGATCGTTAACAGATTGTTTCCTTCCTCTAGCCCTGGTTTCCCCAGCTGGATAATGAGCAAGTTGGGAATCCTGTCAAACTGGAACTTTCTCAGGAGTAGACAGAGGTTAAAGTGCTACAGATTCAAAATTGTACCTGTCACAGGTGACATATGGAAACATACCCAATCACTGACACATTCAGCCATGACCAGATAGAGGTGCCTATTTAGGAATACTGAAAACTCTGGGGATTTTTAACTAAGAGAAATTGACAGACAGCTAATCTGGGTGTCAAAGACATCAAAATTCTTTGTCAGAGTCCATTTGTTTCTTAGGTACTCTTGGAATAAGGACCATTAAGCATTACAAATTCTAAGTACTTTGTATTTTTGACCACTTGCTCCATATGCCTGGCACTCTCCCTTTGTAAGCCCATGTCCTACTTTGAATTTTATAGCATATATCAACCTGATACATGGAGTTGTGCAGTTAATTGCTATCTGACACCCATGTCCCCAAAAGCCCTTCCTGTAAACATAAATTTTCTGTGAGGAAGAACTTTCTTTTGTTCTCTGTCCCATATATAGGAAAGGCAGAGGGCGGTGCTTAGAGTCTATGTATTAGAATGATAATCATTTTAAGTAGCACCCTGACCTCAGAATCAGCCCTTAAGGCATTGTGGTCTGGCTGAAAAGCCCAGGGGAGCATTTCAGACATGAAAAGCCAAGACCCTGTGACAAAAAATATTCTACATGAAGGATCTCGGTGGGTGAGACCCCAGTGGAAGGAAGTGGCCACCAAAGAAGTACTTTTCTCTGAGGGGAGGAGAGAACTTCCAGTTTGCTGACGGCCTTGTTGAGGTAGTGGATCCAAAAGGCTTCCATAGCCAAGGCAGCTCATATCAAGAGCCTTGGGTGATCACTGATGTCAAACATAAGAGTGTTTTTTGTTAAACAACAAGAGTCTCTGTGCACTAACTTCCTATGCAGGACGTTTGTCATCAAAGAGTTGTATCATGAAACTTAGTATTAAAACTTGTTCTCAAGAATAATTTTCTTTTAGTGTATTAAGTGGAGGATATTCTCATGTCTCAGAAGTTATAGTTATGTCTAAGAGCTTGCAAAAGATGTATCATTCTTGGGTTCTAATTTAAAGATAATTAAGTTTCTAAAAGGAAAGAAGGGGGAGGAAGGAAGGGAAAAGAAGAAGGGAAAAAACAAAATCACCTTCAAGATGCAATAACTTTGAACAACCCTTGTCTGGACTGTTGAGGAACAGTTTTTTGTTGTTATTTTTCTTCTTTCTTTTTCTTTTTCTTTTTATTTCTCATACTAAGTATTGAACTTCTTACCTAGAATAAAGTTAATCCTCTGTATATAAAGTTAAGTGAAAATAGATCTTAGTGAAATACAGGACTGGAACAGGAGAGGGAAGAGGAAGAGGTGTGGAAGTGTGGGTGGGAGGACAGGTACAGTGGGAAGAGTTACTATGTTCCTACTGTTGTATTTATGAAATGCATGAAAATAAATAAAAATAAAATCTATGTATTATATAAGTGAATCTTTAGGCTTCATGCAATGCTAATAAATAGGTATTATTGCTTTCTGCATTTTTCAGGTGAGGAAATCGAGGTTTAGAGACTAAAGGAACTGGTTTTAGACCAAGGAAGTCTACCCTGGTACCTCTGTTTCAATGATGCCGATGCTACAGTTTTTTGCATGTGATTCCTATTTAAAGCTAGGCATTTTGGAATAATCTTCGAACATATCCAGGATGATAAATACACTTCAAAGCTTCCATTTCTTTCTGCAAAGGTGGCAGAATCTCAGGTGTGAGTCATAACACATTCTTTGTCATAAATAATTAATATTTATGGAGTTCCTGCTCTACCATTTGGGTTGAATGTGTTAGAGATACATGGGTTACCATATGAAGGAGATAAATGTTATCAGATGAAAGCAAAAGTGATGCTGATAGAGTGTAGATAGGTAGATAACTATACACGGTAACCTCTGCTCACTATTAGATAAGAGGTACAAACTTTTGACTCCCTAATGCTTCTATTGATCTTAGCCAATCTACATAAATATCATCCAGTAACACTTTAGATGAACTATTCTTACATTTATTTCTTTTCCCACCTTTCTTTCTGGATCACATTACTTCCTTCTGGGATCCTTTCTTCCTGAAGTACATTCTCAGTAAACTTGATAGGTCTTGCTTAGAGCTCAGGATAAGACATTTTAAAAAAAAGCCTTTTGGTAATTGTGATCCCAGAAGCCATCAGGGTTGTGGGGATCACGTGAGGAAGAGTAAGCTATGGCTGAGGTTGTTGGAGGGACTTGAAGAGGGGTTGGGGTTTAGAGTAACCCTTGATGGCATGGGCATCGTGGATTAGAAGAAAAAAGGAGAAAACTTACTTTTTGGAAGGAACGAGAGGGGTGAGGAAGTGACAGCAGGAGGAGAGGAATGATGAAGGGCCCTGAGGCACTGAATGCATCCCAGTGGATCTGGAAAGAGGATCCATAGTTGAGTCTCACTGGGCTGAAGGAAACTCCTGGGTGCTGAGTGATGGGAAGAAGAATTTTGTTGTCTCTTCCATGGAGGAGATACATAGCAGAATGGTTATGAGTCTATACCATGAGTCAGACTAGTCTGGCCTTAAATCCCTGCTGTAAAATTTATGTGGCTTTGAATGAGTTAGTTAACCTCTGCAGGGGTTTTTCCCTCTCTAAAATGTCATAATAGCTCCTACCACGGAGGGTTATTATAGAGATTAAGTGAGAAAATGCATCTTTACTTTTTAGAACACTGACTCTCAATAAGGTCTCATTAAATGTGATTATTATTGCTGCTATTTTATTGAAAGTTATACTGTGGATAAGCTCAATTTCTTCCTTTAAATATTTGCAGGTTTCATGCATAAAAACTGACCTTGATTGCCAACCCTATCTCGGAAGCGTCTCTGAGCTGGTAAGAGTTGCCTTCTAACTCACACAACTGAGATCATGGAAAGGGGGAAGTGACTCACAGAATGGCAGGTCCAGAGGCTCCCTGGAAAACATCATTCGGCAATTCTTCCAAATTATTATTATCACTTAGGTTCCTGGGGATGGAGTTGAGGAAAGAATAAGAGAAACATAAAGCCATGTAAACAGCGCTGTTGTAAGAGCCATTTCCCTCTCAATGGCCTGGCCAAAATAGTCAGGGATACTTACAGTTCATCTAGTTGGGTTCCATTGAATGCACAGTTGTGTATTTCTTGAATCCCATTCTTATTCAGCCATCTGAAATAAAAGGCCCATTCAGATACCAATAATGTCAGATGCAAACAGTACAACAGCCTTATAATTGGGAGCTCTGGGGCAAGGCCAGATAGCACAGGTAAGAGGCGTAAACAAAATTCTACCCTTAAAATCTGGGGACAGACATGGAAGGGAGACTGATTCATCATGGTATAATCTTTTCTAACTTCCAAAGTTTGCATTATGTGCATGTCTTACCTAATCAAAATAATAAATGAAATTTAATTTTGTAAAGGCACACTGAGGCGCTGTAGCCTGGATTCTGTAACCATAGGATCTTCACATATATACTATATACTATGGGCTGTGGGTATGGGGGGAGGGGCCCAGATGGAGAGTTTTCCTGTCCTGAAGGGCAGCGATCATGCAATTATTGAACAGGTGTTTCTAAGACAGAAAAAGAACATTTTGTGTCACCTTTCTCTGAGACCTAAAGCCTCTGACCCATGCTCACCCATTGCAGCAGGCCTGGCTGTCATCAAAAAGTGATCTAATTAAGTTGTCAGACAACCTGAACATCTCCTGTGACCTGTAAGAACCTGGTTATTGGAGGTTTGTGGAGGTGGCTCTGGGTTAAGGTAGAATGGAAGAGAAATCAATTACAGTGACTGTGGGCTGGGGTGGGGTGTCCTGGCGTGAGCAGTTATGGAAGGAGACTCTGGAGGAGTTGCGGCTGGGTTTAAAGCAGTCATCCTGATATTGCTAAAAAGGTCAGTGAGCAGGCTTGTCTGGACAGGGGAGCCCAAGGACACCCTGGGCTGCCAGTTCTGCCTTGCTTTGCTACTGTGTGGATCTGAAAACAAAAAGCAGACATCCAAGGTCGGGAAGAGGGAGCCAAAGAGCCCATGCCTACCTACTCTTGTTTTGCTATCAGGTTCTCTTCTCGGTCAGGTTCAGTGGGTTTACAAATAACACTGTTCAAAGAGCTGGCTCAGAGAAGCTCCTGTGTGTTCAGGGCTCTATTCTGTGTGCTGCTATGGGTACCTGGAAATCGCTTAAAATCACAGAAGAGCAACATACATCTTTTTCTTCCTCCTGAAAACCAGTTAGTTAAATGAATCTGGAGAGGAGAAAGGTACATCTTTGAAAACTTTAGCAACGAACAGGTGAGTTTTGATGGCAAAGAGGTAGCTATGGATCCCCATGCTGCCTGTGCCCTGCCTACCCATGCAGAAATCTTTCCTAGGGCCATCCAGGCTCCTGCCTTACTTATCAGCCTGACCTTAAGGGAGGAGAAATGCTGCCCCTAACCTGTAGGGAGTGATCCTGAGGGTTTTGAACCAAACGTGGGGCCTATCAAACTTTTTCTGCAAAGTGCTAGATAAAAAATTCTTGGTTTTGTGGGTCAAGAGACAAAATCAAAGAGATATGGATGCCTTAGATAGGTACTGTTTTTACTGATTAAATTGAATGATCAATAATGAGTCATCACACAGAAAGCAAAGTATGTCCAGAACTCCTGCCCTCAGTTTTCCATTATGTTATAGGATCCTCAAAATACCGAGAAAGAGCAGCTGGCCTTAATTCTTTCTTTTATAATTATTATTTTTTATTTAGCCTTATTTATTTGAAAGGCAGAGAAAGAGAGAGAGAAAGAAAGAGAGAGAGAGATCATCTTTTATCTTCTGGTTCACTCCCCGTTGCCTGAAACAAGGCTGGGCCAGGTCAAAGTCAGTGGTCTGGAACTCAATCCAGGCCTCCCATGTGGACAGCAGGGACCCAAGTACCTGCACCTGCTGCTTCCCAGGCTGTGCATTCACAGGAAGCTGGATCAGAAGTGGAGTATCTGGGACTTGAATCCAACAACATATATGAGTGTGGGCATCCCCCACGGTGGCTGAACTGCTGTGTCTCACAAATGACCTTTAAATGCAATACTAGCCTCTTAAGAGAGGGAGTGATTGTTATAAAAGCAGATGAGGAGGAAGATGGTGACAACCTGGACAGAACTCAACTCAAGGAAAAGATCTTAGTCTTCTTGTCCCCTTGTGTGCTCACTTAGCAGAGCTCCTCATCCTAAAGTGTGAAGGTCCTGGGAGACCTGGCCCATAAAATCTTATTGAGGAGTAGAAAGGGAGATAGAAGATCCCCTCTCTAGGGACTAGACTGTGCTGGGAGCTGTCACACATGCAACCTCATTTTATTGCATTTGAATTAGACTGTTCTGGTCATGGTGAGGTGGGGCATCATGGGGTATGGGAAGAGCTCAGGGGCTTCCATAGGATCAATTGCCCGAGTTACTAACCACGTATATGATACTCCTTCATTGTTGGGCTGTTGTTTAAAAAAATATTTATTTGTAGAACAGAGCATTAGAATTTGGAAAAGTGCTACTGGATACAAAGCATTTCATCGTCAGTGCCATTTTGCCATGCTTTTTTTCCTGCATGCACTTGGATATCCCTACCTGGAAAAAATGCTTCTGCCTAAGATAAACCAGACAGACTATGAATAGCTGGAGACAAGCTGCATTGAGCAGAAGTCTTCTGATTCCATTATCTGCAGATTAAGGGACAGTCAAGGAAAGAAAAATAGATGTTGTCCTCACAAATGGGAATTTATCTTTTAGAGACGTGTCTGAGAAATGTTGACTGTTAAAAGAAAACTATCGTCTTTAAAAGTATGTTTCTAAATTCCAGGAAATCGCTCAGTGTCCATGAACAAGAGTTAGGAAAGAACAGACAAGAGCTACATGTTTCTTTCATGGCTTTCAGCTAAAAATATGCAATGAAATGTATTTTAAAAAATAAAACAATGAGAAAGGATGGCACCTGTCATACCAAAAAAAAAAAAAAAACCCTCAAAAATTTGTAAGAGAGAAAAAGAAAATGCTCTTCTTATAGATGGAATTTCAATTCCTCCCCCAGTTGTCATTATGAGACCTTTCATGGATCTCATGAACGCTTGGGCAGCCCATCGTGCCGATCTCTTGGTCATCCTGGAGAGTGAGTGACTTGCCATCCTGGCTGCTTGCACAAAAGGTTAGAAAGTCATTCATTAATGAGCCAGAACATTTCAAAACTTTCCCAAAAGTCAGAGGGAGTAACTCAAGCTCATTCAAAAAGGTTCCAAGAAAATGAGACGTGCTCCTCCTCTTCTCTGCCTGGACCTGACCAGGAGCTATGTGGCATGGCCATGGGAAATGACCATGTCTGCCCGAGGCAGCTTCCTCTTTCTTGTGTGCTTTGGACGACTAAAGCCTTGCCAGGAAATAACTAGCTTTATTGATGCCTGAGTTATTCTGTCCTTTGGAACAGATGCTGCAACATGGGAGACCATCATTCAAAGAGCAATTTTAAATACTTGATTTGCACCATGGAATAATAAATTATTAATATGACTCCATGTTGTGATTCTGCAATGTAAAGATGAGAAAAAAACACAGAACGAGAGAATGATTTAAATGGCGAAATGCTTAAGTTATTCAAACAAAATGGAGTGTCCATTATGAGAAGATCATTCAGTGAAAAATCAGATGTTACTCTGTTGGAATCCCCTCCCCCCTTACTTACAAAATCACACTTTCAAAACTCAGCCCCACAAAGGAATTCCTTTCAACTGTCTGGATGTTGATGTTGTCTTGAATGTCTCTAGAAGAAAGTGCAGACAAATTAGCTGTTTACGTGAATCCTGCTGATGCCATATTCCCACATTTGGTTTTCTTGGCACTATGTCCCTTCTTAGCTGAGGTAATCTTTTAATACAATTATTGTCCGGAGGATGATTAATTCAATGTTTGGGAAATAAATGGCCACCAATTTATTGTATGTCAGTTCCTTTGAAATTGCAGACAAATATGTCTTCTCTCTCTGAAGGTTTCCTTAGCTAATTTCACTCTGTTGAGATTCTAGCATCACTTAATAGCCTTGCCTACAAAGTTGGTCTCTGTTCAACATGGCAGTCACTTAAGTTGACTTTTTCTTTATACCAGACTTCCATATTCACTTTACTCAGGCCTTCTTTCTTCGAACTCAATCCCCTTCTTACAGTTAAATATCTTACTCTGTTCTCCTTGGATTACAGAACAATTTTATCATCAGTTTTACTCTTCCTGAATGAAAGGAGTGAGAAAGACTCAATTTTCCCCTCACCTTTTATATTCCTCATTCCCCCATCGAAGTCCCTCTGGTTTAACATACCAGGGCAATGAGTAAATGCCTTGGAACATTAGAGAACTTCTGGGAGATTCTATTTCTTTCCCCACCTTTACTCCTTATATCCTTATATTCCTTCCCACCATTTTCCTTTCAAGTCTATCCATATTTTTATAATTGGAAAGAAAGCTGCCATTCTATTTTTCCTGTTCTCTTCTTCTTTCAAAGTACAGATCCCTTGGGAAAAGGCAAACTTATTATGTCACTAACCCTTTAAGAAGAACTTGTCAGATAATTTCTTTATGCCTAGGGTAGCAAGGGACTTCTGGAAGGAACAGGAGAGGATGCTGGAAAACAGGGGAGTTGCAAGGGGAGAGTAAATGAAAAAAAAAAAGGAATGATTTCCTGATTTTATTGCAGGTTAGCTCTGTTGCCAACGCTCTTGTCCAGGAGCTTGTTGTTTTCATCCAAACTACTATAGGCTGACCTAGATAGGGTAATACCAAGGGCCTTGCTGCTTGCCTTCCTATCTCTGATCACCCAGAGCAGCACGTTTGGTGGATAGAGTTAGTAACTTCTCATGGAAAAACTTACAGTAAAACCTTCTGCAGAGACTGAATCTTGTGAACAGTTGGCAAGTGCCTGATACCTGTGTTGGATATTAACCTAGAGAGAGACAAAATGAGAGTGATGAAAAATAAAGCTGGCTATTTAAACAATTGTTAGGTTGACTTTGGAAAGTTCATATTCTATCAGTTTTGAATGACCAGAAAAACCCATGAAAAAAGCTCAACATTATATTATATTTATGTTTTATTCTTTAGGTTCTAACTGAGGTCTCATCAGCTGTTGAGTCCTTAGATGTTGCTCCCCGTCTTCGTGGAGGAACGACACAGGACCCTGCGCTGTTCTTTTGTCTGCTCGGCCCTCCCCAGGTTTGCTGCTGGTTCTTCCCGGGCTGGCTACCGTCCCTTCCACCTCCGTGGAAGGGCGGTTCCCCCTGCCACCTTCCCCACTTCCGCGGGGGAGCGGCACACCGCCGGCCGGCTCTCTCGGGGGCTGCACAGGTGTTCCCTCAGATGTTCCCCTTAGATGTTCCTGGTGCATGTTGTCTCTCTCCTCCTTTATAGTCCTCTTCCACCAATCCCAACTCTGCTACCCACACGCCGAGTACGCTGCTCTCCTCCAATCAGGAGCAGCTCCTGCAGCTTGTCAAGTTGGTGAGAGGCAGCTGGGTAGAAGCTGTTGCCTCCTCTCCCAGCGCCATATTGTGGGAGAGCAGATGCATAGAATAAGTCTTAATTCCAGTAACTTAGTCTAGTCCGAGTTGCTCCCCACACTTAGAGAGCAAAGAACACTTGAAACATAAGGGCACCAGTGTGCTACAGTGCACATTTTTTAAAAGATCATTAATATTCAAAAGCAACTTCGAAGAAGATAGCAGAATTTTTCTAAATTGTCTATTTCCAATGTCTTCATACTTGTTGGATAGCTGCCTTTTGATTAATCCAAAGATCTCTGAAGTTAGCACATGGGATTCCATGGCCTTAGAACCCAGGGCATGCAGGAGACCTAAACTGAACCAGTCCACCTCATGCCTGGGAAGTGATTAGGAGGAGGCTGGTGAGAGCTGAAACTTCCTCTGCCATCACCTCGAGACAGTCCGTAAACTCCTGCAAGGTGAAACTTCCAGACCTAGGGTGAGCCTTCCCCAAGGCCTTACTGTCCTGAACTGCCTTCTCCAAGAAGCAGAGCCTGAGATGAAGGTTGGCTGTGGATAAATAATTGACAATGTGACTAAAGAGCATTCAGGATGAAGGGTGTGGAACTGGGAAGGAGGAAAACTAACCAGCACCAGGACAGATGATTGAGTTGGCCAATTGTCTCCTTAATCCCAAGGACTTGATTTAGGAGATTTGGGAATATATCTCAGAACTGTTTGTACGAACAGAGAGTAGTGAAGCGAAGGCTTTATTCATAGACTCTTATTTCCTACTGATTAAATTTGACCCTAGGGGGTTAATGCCCCTTTTCTGGTTTGGCCATTTTTGAGTACCCAGTATGTTCCTTATAGATGTCTTTATAGTGACGTAGAAGAAACACCAGAGGCCGGCACCGCGGCTCAATAGGCCAATCCTCCACCTAGTGGCGCCGGTACACCGGTTTCTAGTCCCGGTCGGGGCGCCGGATTCTGTCCCGGTTGCCCCTCTTCCAGGCCAGCTCTCTGCTGTGGCCAGGGAAGGCAGTGGAGGATGACCCAAGTCCTTGGGCCCTGCACCCCATGGGAGACCAGGAGAAGCACCTGGCTCCTGCCTTCGGATCAGCGTGGTGCACCAGCTGCAGCGTGCCAGCCGTGGCAGCCATTGGAGAATGAACCAAAGGCAAAGGAAGACCTTTCTCTCTGTCTCTCTGTCTCTCACTATCCACTCTGCCTGTCAAAAAAAAAAAAAAAAAAAAACAAAAAAAAACAAAAAAAACAAAACACCAGAGCAGGGATGAGGAGGCATTGAGGGTCAGGCTAGGTGCCATTCAGTTCCAGCTGCGTTAAACTAGATGAACTTGGGTGGAACTGTCTGCTGGGCAGAGGTGAAGGCCTCCGGGTGGTGCGTGGGGATTGTCTGGCACACTGCTCTCCACCACCTCCCTCACTCCTGTTCTTCAGACCCCTCCCAATAGCTCTGCAGTCCCGTTTCCTTCTTCTGTGTATGACCAGCCTAAGCTGGAGTTGGTCTTGGTGGCTGATAACCTAAAGAACCCTCATTAATATCCCCCTCACAGCAAAGGAGCACGTGTCTTGTGGTTTATGACTCTTAAGTAGACTGTAGTGTCTTGTTATCTGTTTCTATATTCAGAGTCTATGAATCCTAACTATGGGTGGTAGGGAATGGTTTCCAGATGTTTTGTCCCTTCTTGCTTCCTATCATCAACAAAGAACCCATCTCGGTCAACCCTTCTTTTAATTACTTTAACAGTCCTAGAGATGGTCTCTTTTGCTTTTTATTTGGGAAAGAGGTTATTAATGTACAATTTTTGAGAAAATTTATTGTTTTATTTCAATTTTGAAAATTCACATTCAGAAAAATTAACTCTTTTTGGCATAGAGGTCTATGAATGAAGACAAATGCTGGTATACTAGTGTGTAAACACTAGCATGATACAGGTACAGAACACCACCATCGCTGTACAAATTCCCCTTTGCTTTTCCTTTGTTGTTGTCCTGTCCTACCACCTATACCTAGCAACTGTTGATCAGTTTTCTGTTCCTAAAATTTTGCCTTTTCACAATGCTGTATCAGTGAAATCATTTAGTAGATAGGTTTTGAATGTGGCTTTTTTTTGCTTAGTATAATCCACTCAATGTCCTTCCACATTGTTGTGTGTATCAGTTCATTTTTTATTGCTAAGTAATATTCCATGTATGAATGTACCATAGCTTGTTTATCCAGTTGCCAATTGAAGGCCATACAGGTTGTTTTCATTTTCACAGAAAGTGTGTGTGTGTGTGTGTGTGTACACAAGTTTACTTCAAAAAGGTCATGGGAAATGGAATTAAAGCGAAATTTATTTTGGTTCAAAAAATTGAAATCCATGCATACAGGGGGTCTTTAAAAAGTGGCTCACCAAAATGTGTGCCATGAAAAAGGATGCCTGATTTTAAACATTTTCTACATTTGTGTGCAGTTTGCTTTTGTGTTTGTGAAAACATTGGTTTTTATTTCTCTTGGGTAAATACCTGGGAGTGGGATTGCTGTGCTGAATGGTAAACATGTGCGCAACGCTGAGAACCCACTGCACCATTTTCCAAAGTAGCTGTACCGTTTTCATTTCCACCAGTAATCTACGAAAATTCTAATTGCTCTGCATCCTTTGGTTATTTAAAATAGCATTTTCTTTGAATATAAAAGTCATACATATTTATTGTGAGATTTATGAAAAATATGAAGACACAGAAAAAGTGAAAAGCAGCTGGAGTCACTAGTATCCAGAGATAGCTTCAGTTAACATTTAGAGTTTGATGCTTCTATCAAAACAAGTGACGTTCTTAGTGGCTCTCCACAACCCCTGAGATTCTACTCATTCTCCACAGGAACATTGCTGTGGCTCTAAATACCCACTAGGCTAACACAGTACCATTCTACACTTGTTATTTAGTTATATCCAGCCCTCCGCTGGTTTTAGATCTCTCTTGTGATCACCCAGTTTGAGCCATCAAAGCAGGAATCATATTTAATATTCTGACAATTCTATACTATTGTGTATAGGTTTGGAATGCAGTATGTGCTTGTCAAATATGGGGTTAATTGCTTGATGTTTCTAAGACATTTATTGCTTCTGTCACCCAGAATGCATTAAAACCCCTCTGTAGCTATTTTACTCATCAGATATGACTGCTACTTGGTAGAAATGAATCTTAAATGAGTTCAGGAAGATCTGGAAACCAGGAGTCAGGAGAACCTCATGCCAAGTAGCCATTTCTCTCTCCAGAACAGAGAGGGGTTGATGGTGAATATCAAGGGAGCTGTATTAAACAGTTCTTTGCCAGCTTCTCATACTCTACATCCAACTTTTACTCTAGGTGTTTCCATGCCAACCACCTGCATACCTGCATACAAGCTTACATGCCTCAGCTAGTAGGCTGTTTTTTTTTTTTTTTTTGTCTGGGACTTCTCTGCCACCTCCATGTGGATGCACTTACAGGTACCTGCTCAACCATTCTGAGGGATGTGCAAAGCTAGAAGTGCTAGAGACTCTGACTACCAGTGGACTTCTCTCTCCCCTATCTTGGGTGAATAATTCTGAGTATATTTTACATATGCCTAAAAGGGCTCTAGCACGACTGAACTCCAATCCCCTGGTGATGTTCCACTTGGTAGATCATTCTTGAGTTGGCATTCCTTCTTTCCTTGTTTCCCTCCTCCTGGTCATCCAAACTCTTTCTTTGGGTCTGGATGCAAAAATATACTACTTCCACGTGAGTCCTTATTCAGACATTGTTTTGGAGAACCTAGCCTAAGACATATGCCAGATTGCACTGAATTTCACATTTTACATAGAGTTATCAATGGTTTCCATCTCCATTTACTACCTTTCTGTCTCAGTCCTTATTTTCTGTTTTATTGTTCTTGTTCCTTATTGATATTCCTTATTATCCAATGTTTCTAGAAAGAATTGTCTGCATGTGCTTTCTTCATTTTCTGATATCTCTTTCATTTTCATCCTATTCAAGCTTGTTTTTATTGTGCATCTCTTTATCACAACTACTGTTGTCATGCCAAAATTCCACCAACTGACCAACCACCAAATTTTATGGCACTTAAATTCTCATTTTGTTAGACCTTTCTGGGTCATTTAGTACTTTGTGCCATTCTCTCTTTTATTGGCTTCTGTTGTATTGTAGTCTTATTTCTCCTTCCCAGTTACTTCCTTTTTAGTGTTCTTTGTTGATTTGTCTTTGTTCATTTGTACTCTGGGCATTCTGCCTTTTTTCTCTTTTTTCATCTTCCAAGGTAGATCTCATTTCCCATGGCTTTAAGGAGTATCAGTGTGGTAGCTCCAGAGTCATACTTGTATCCCTATCTCTAGTCTATTGCTAAATAAAACTTACTTCAGTGGTGGTCATCTGGCCTGCCAGTTAAAAACCTCACCCTTGTGCTGTGTCAGAGAACCTGGGTTTGATTCCTGGCTCTGGCTCCTTACTCTATTTTCTTGTTAATGCAGGCTCTGAGAGGCAGCAGGTGGTGGTGCAAGTAGTTGGTTCCCAGGTAAGAGGCCTGGATTGTGTTCCAGCTCCCACCCTCAGCCTGGTATAGCTCCTGTCATTTTGGGCATTGGGATGGCATCTCTCTCCTTCTCTCTCTGCTTCTTAAATAAAAATAAACTTACTTTTCATATCTTCTTGAATGCCTCATTGACATAGCTAACTCAATCCCTCCCC